TTCTCATCCACCTTATTCACCAGATCTGTTATTCACCAGATCTGGCACCGTGAGACTTCTGGCTCTTCCCCAAAGTCAAAATGACTTGAAAGGAAAACATTTTGAGTTGATTCAGGACACAGAGGCTGTCACAACTAAAGACACTCAGAAAGTGGCAAGAATGATGGGATAAGTGTGTTTGAAGTGAGGGAGAGTACTTTGAGGGGAATTAATGGCAATGTGTCTTTTACTGTAATACATTTTTTTTTAATTTGAACATTCACTGTGGTTTTTTATTACACTTCATAATGGCTGATAAAATGTTATCTATAAAAAACACAAATGCCCTTTCTCAAGTTATTAGTATTATCAACCTACAGTATGTGTGACTGTTGTTCAAAAATTCTATGTGTTGTGCAGGATTTATAAAAGTAGTTTTGTTCTATATTCTTTAATTTTATTCCTTTGCAGAATATTATTATACTGTTATTGACATCATAGGTTTATTGTCAAATACAGAATGCCATCAACAATTGAGGTTAAAGAAAGTTCACTCTTGTGATTTTTTTGCCCAATTGAGAAGTTGTGTTCAATAAATATTTTTTTCAGTGGCCAAATATTTAGCTAAAATTCCAATAATTCATGAGTGTTAGCCTTCATAGGAAGAACAAAAGTACATTGTCATTACACATTTATTTTTTAAAGATTTTATTGGGGAATTGGGGAAGGGGAACAGCCAAGTTGTTGTCCTTCAGCCTTAGCTGTGGAGGGCGCAGCTAGCTCAGCTCCAAGTCCATTCGCCATCTCGCCGCCCGTTGGCAGCTCGTGGCCGCTCAGCTCAAGGTGCCATATTCAATCTTAGTTGTGGGTGGGCGTAGCCCACCATCCCATGCGGGAGTCGAACCTGCAACTTTGTTGTTAGGATGATGTGCCTCTCACCAGCTGAGCCATCCTGCCACCTGTTGGCAGCTCAGCGGCAGCTCAACTCAGGTGCAACTCACTGGTCCATGTGGGAATTAAACCGGCAACCCTTTTGCTCAGAGCTCATGCTCTTAACCATCTGAGCCCCTCAGCCGGCCCTGTCATTACACATTTTAACCTCTTATATGAAATTATCAATTATGTTTCATGATTTTTTTTATAGCTTAGAAAACTTAAAAAAATATACCGTTTTCTTCCCAGTGCATTTTTGGATTTTTACAAGACTTTTCTCCATATTCTTTATGAATGTTTCTCTTATTCAAACATTAAAACATTTTTCCTTTGCAGCTCTCTGGAGTTTGAAGGACTTTTAAGAGAATTTATTTTTTTTTAATCTATTAAAAAATCAAACATGTTTCTTCTTCATTGTTATAAACAGTGGGATATTTAGCCTGTTGTACTCACATGTCCAAATTGCAAAATAAGGAAAACAATAAAGCATTATTTATTACTAATTCTTGGGCCCTGGGCTTTTATACTTTCAGAATTTTTTTTACCATCTTTTTATTTAACAAATATTTATTGAAAGCCATGTATGTACTTTGCTGGCTACTGTGAGAGATTCACAGATAAATAAAGCAAAACAGCCTTGATATTGAGGAACCTGCATTCTAGGAGAAGAAAAAAGGCAAATGAATAATAAATAAAATGTAAGATGCAGTAAGTACCATACTAAAGAGCAGGAAATACAGGGACTTTCATTCCTGGCTATTTAGTGAAATGGAGATCCGGGAACCTCCTGATTGCAAATAATCTGATAACACTGGACAAAATACTAATAGGAAAAATCACACTTTCAAATGAATGGGTAAGAACTTTCATTTTAGGTAGTCCTAGATGCTCATACGTACATGTGTACCAGGTGACATGCACAGGAACATTTATAGCATTTTTTTGGTTTTTTTTTAACAGCATAAAATGGAATGAACTCTGATGTCCATCAACAGGAAAATACCATGTGGCAGTGAAAATTAATGCATTACAGCTACATACATTAGTATGGATGAACCTAAAAATCATAATACTAAGTTAAAAAATACAGTTTGCAATGGACTGTAGTCAGCCACCATTAATATAGCTTTGCAAAACTGAACACTATTTAATTATACATGCATATATGGTAAAACTATAAAGGATAAGATGTTATTGAAAAGTAATTCAGGGTAGTGGTTTTCTCTGGGAGGGAGAACCTGGGTATTCTCAACAGTGTTGGTAATGTTAGACTGCTCAGTGTTGTTGAGTGGATAAATGGATATTTATTCTAATATGGCTGATAAATTGTTACATATGTTCTTTTTATGTTTTAGGAAAAACTTCATAATTGAAGTCTTAATATGATAAAGTAGGAAAGGCAGAGGAGTTTAGAAGAAGCAGAGGAAGAGGTGTTATATCTGGTAGACCAAGGATAGTGTCATGAATGATGTGCCTTCAGGAGGGAAACCTTGGAATTGTTTGGTGATCAGCAAACGATCTGATTATCAAGTGGAAGAAATGTTAAAGAGAGTGGTGTAATTACAAGGGAAAAAACACAGAAGAAAAATTGGACTTAATGTAGTGAAGAGCCACATAAGGCTTTGGTGGTAGAGTGTTGTGCTAGGATGTGGGAGAGATTGGATGAGGGAGATCCTGTAGGTGAATCTACTAATTTGAAGGTGATGGCAATTAAAGAAGCAGAATTAGTTTTGATAGAAAGTCAGGTACCAGAGACTCTCAAATACAATCTCTGGGGCTTGATGGTTGATTGAATGTGACAGATGCAGTGAAAGAGGCATTAAAAAAAATGGAATTTTGATTCTGATGGGCTTGAAATTGCATGCCAATAAAGATTGTGAGAATGTCATGTGTGGAACATGCAGGTAGTTTGATTTTGGGATTGATTTTGACCATTTTGGCTGGAGGTGAACAAGATAGTCAGTTGGATATATGGGGCTGGAGCTTGAAAGGGAAGTTGAAACTCTGGGCTTGTCCTCATCATTTATGGTGTCTCCCCCAGAGTGGATGACCCAGCTGCGGAGGCCAGAGCTGCTCGCGTGACATATCCTCAAAGAGGTCTTTCCTAGCCACCCTACCTACAATTTTACGCCTTTTCCTACCCTCCATAAAAATCTGGTTTATGTTTCTTGTTACCACTTATTGATTTAATTCTATACATATTTATGATTGTCTGCCTGCCTTTAGCAGGGCATAAACTCCATAAGACAGGAATTTTGACTGTTATTTCCCGCTCATCGTTATATCCCCAGCAGCTAGAACAGTTTTTAGCAAATAAGGTATTTCTTGAATGAAGTGAGAGTAGAGCTGAAGGTGAAAACCTTAGAGGATGTCTGCCCTCAGGGTGGGTGGAAAGAGCATCCTAAGAAGAAGATGGAAAAGGGAAGGAGAATGGATGCCACCAAGGAGGACACTGATCTGGAAATCAGAGGCAGGAGGAATTGTTTTGACATAACCAAGGGATTTCCATGTGTTTAGAAATGTAGAAGAATATCAAGAAAAAGCTTTTGGGTTTAGGGATTAGGAGGGTTTGTATTCAAGCTTGTGCAGTGGCAGGGTAAGAAAGGAACTCCACTGAGCAGCTGGGAAAGAAAGAGGACCAGAAATGATGAGGAAGGTCTTTGAGCTAAGGTCTTTGGTGACAAGCTAGATGGTGTAGAGTTTGATAGATGACTGGCAATCACAACTTCGCATTTAAACTGTGTCCTCGTACACAAACTTATTGAAGAATAATACTGTACTGTTGATATTTTTTCTTCTTTAATTGGAGTACATCTCATAGAGGGTCACAAAATTGCAAAATAAATAATATTTTTCTTCCCACGTGACATAAGATAATTATGTAGAACCCCAAAATATTTTTAAGAGTGTAGAAGTTTTACAAATCAGAATAAATTTGAGTGGGTGGAATGGGGACCAAAGGACAAAAAAGGAAAGATAGCAAGTAGCTACAAGGACAAGTCATTTTAGAAATGAATGTGGTTTTCTAAGGGCCTTCCAGAACGTGTTTTAGGAACCGAGTGTCAAAATTGAAAACTTTTTGCTTGTCTCTTTCTGGGGAGCTATTATGGTGAGCTCTGCAATACCTCTTAGAGTGGCCTCTTCTTTTTCTTTACTTTTTAATAGAAGTTTAACAAATAATCATTTATCTTAAAATAAGATGCAGAAAACTTGTTTAAGAAGACTAGGAGGTTAGATAATAGGAAGAGTGATTAGTTAGGCAATACCCAGTGGAATTGTTGAAAGAAGTAAAAGTTTGAGACATTATTGTTTTATTCTTTGGCTAGAATTTTGATGGTTAAATATCAAATTTATTGACCCAATCATCATTTGAAAATAAATAGTTCATGTACTTTAAATTGAGTAATACCTAAATTTGATTTTTCAGTCATGTTGAGTATAAGAAACAGAATCATCACAACTTCCAGCAAACTCAGAAGTTACCTTCTGTGACATGGCTGATGCATTATTCTTAAAGGAGAATCTTGGGATAAAACTAGGTCAGTTGTTTCAGGCAGCTTCAATCATTTTTTTTCAATTCTTCCTCTCTTCCTACAAATAAGAAGAAAGAAAACTTGTTACTGTATTAAATTACTAACAAAATTGATCAGCAGCAGACTAACAAGATGAACTTATCAGAATAAATGGAAATGGGTAGCCAGCAACAGAAGTGTAACTTTCTAGGGCCTTGTGCATTCACAGCTGAAGTTGGTTTTCTTCCTGTGGTCTAGGTTTCCTGTTTGCACAAGAGCCCTAGCCTTCTCCTAGAGCCTGGAAACCCCATGTATTTTGGACACTTGGAGCTTTTTAAATAGCAGAGGATGATTGTGTCAACCACAGATGTGGCCCTTTTGGGAACAAAGAAAAGACCATTTAAATTACCTATCAAATTTTGATAACTTGAAATAATCCGGTAATATTATTTGGTTGGAAAGCAAATAATAAGCACAGTTCTAAAAAAGGAAAAAACAAAAACAACAACTCTGTAAACAGTGTCATGTTACTTTAAAAAGAACCATAGTTTACTTGCTGGTCTATTTGATTTTTAGGGACCATGGACTTGATTATAAAGGTTGGTGCCATCACAGAATTGGGAGCTGCTGAGCTATTCACAATAGGTACTTTATTTTGAATTTTATGTTAAAAGATGTTTATGAAGTATTAGGATGTAATTAAAACCACACAAGGAATTTGTTTCATCCCATGCAGAAAAAAAAGGAAAAAGAAAAAGAAAAAGAAAGATCTTTGTTTCCATATTAGCAAATTTTTTTTTTCTCCTAAGGGTACTGATTAGGTGATCAAAAAGCCTTTTTGTCTGTTCTTTTAGTTTGTGAGCATGTGGAGAAAACCACTAATATTAGTTACAGTAAACTCAGAGCACATAATTATAATGTTGCAAGAAGGAAAGGAAAATTAAATCATATGAAGCTGAATGCTGAGTTGTACAGTGTATTGAGTGATTAGTTTGAATAGGGCTTAAGTTACACTTGGTGGATGTGGGTAAATAAATAAATCCATAATTATTATAATGCTCATAATAGATTTTAGAATTGTTTTTATGGTTGTAAAGTTGCTTCCCCTCATTGTAACCTCAATTTTTTTTGGCCATCAGATATTTGATAGTAACTGATTTTTGCGTCTGTGAAGACCATATATTCATGAGGGAAAAATAGAGTGCATGTAAACAACATTATTCTTAACCTTTTATGAATGTGGTAAAACCCAGTCCATTCATTAGCATTAATCGTGGGCAGCTTATGCTGAGCGCTCTCACATACTCCATCTGAGGCTCAGGGACACTGATGATTTTCTGCTATTTTACCTCGCTTCTGGGTTGATTTTCAGTTTCAAATTGGGTAAGCTCAGAGTATCTTCTTTGTTTGTTTTAAGTAACATATTTATATTCATTTAAAACAGTTAAATCAAGTAGCAGTCTTCACTTGAATTTGTGATCAGATATTCTGTAATTATTTGGAGGGGGGCTAAATTTTGAATGTGTTTGCTATAAGTCTGTGTGTGTGTGTATGTGTTGTATGTGTGTGTGTGTGTGTATGTGTGTGTATGTGTGTGTTGCATGTGTGCATGTTAGAAGTTTTTAAAGCTAAAAAATAAACCTGCCTGTCTTCCTTCCCTTCTTTCCTTTTCTTTCTATAAAATATAATGTTCAGAACAGCTTCTTCTTGTATTCTGTAACAATTTAGATACAAAGATGCAAAACAAGTGGCTGTTTTATACATATAGAAACCTGTATTTAAAGAATCCAACCCAAATACCAATTGACTGACAATCAATAAAAATGATATAGGTGAAAATTAACTCCCTTTGGTTGAATGATTTTGAAGCAACAGCACATTAAACACAAGCATTTGGGAGTGATTAGCCTTTGATTAAAAAAAAAACACTTTTTAAGACAATTGGAGAAATTTTACTAGATTAAATGATAATTAATGCTTGTTCACAATATTCCTAATTAGTAGTCTTATTGATTAGAATTATTAATAGTCTTAGACATGATAATATTATTGTGGTTAGGTAAGAGAATGACCTTATTCTTAGGAAATGTCTTCTGCATTATTTAGGAGGAAGGATTATGATACTTGAAACTGACATTCAAATGGCTCAGAAAAAAGTATGTGTGTAATGTTTTTGTATTGTAAGCTGATGGTGACTCTCTAGGTCATTTACTTTCTTTACAGGAAAGTTTATGATAAAGTAGCAAATCTTTGGGATTTTAGTCAAGTTATAACAAAACTGTTTACCATATAACAAAGCTGAGGCAACAGAACTGGTTTGTAGATGCTGAGAAATTAATTAAAAAAATAAAATAGTTAATTAGACACATAAAAACATATTTAAGGAGAAATGTACAGAAAGTAAGTGTGTATAGTTTTTGGATGTCCCATTATTTGGCAGGAGAATTACATTTTAATAGGGAAGTACATAAATATATGAGTTATAGGTTAATATTTTATTTTTGGATTTATGAAAAGCCCTCAATATTTTCTTTGACTTCTCACCTCATGCATCTAATCCATAATATTGTCACATTTGAAAATATTCTTTAGAGGCCTGACCACTGCACTGTACATCTGAAGCTGCCGTTGAATAATATTACATGTCAACTATAATTTAATACATATATACTCATGGGATGTGGAGTATAGTGTGGGAATGGAGTCAATGGAATTGTAATAGATAAGTATGATATTGGGGCCGGGAGGGCAGTCGATGGGAGGAGGGGGATTGCCACTTTGTGAGGGGTGAAAAGGATAACTATTTCCTTGCTTTGTACACCTGAAACTAATAATAAAAAGAAAAGAAAATATTCTTAATATTAAATCAGGCAATAATGAATATAAACTGTCAGAGGTCATACTTCATTACCTGTACATGCTAACTTTTGCACCCTATCAGAGTACATGTGTCACACATTGTAGTAGGGCTTGTCCAGTTGTCATTCGCAACCTGCTTTGCCCTTGCAAACCTCTATTACATGGACTGTAAAAACTGATATTCACTTCCTTCCAGCTAGGAATAGCCATACAATATGGGACAATGAGACATAAGCAAGAATCTGTTTGAAGCTTTCTGGGAGAGCCTTTGTTTTCTTGATAAAAAAGGCTGACATACTCCTCTCCTCTTCTTCCTGTCCTGAGTATGGATATGATTCCTGGGGTAAGAGTAGTCATCTTCTTGCCATGAGGGAATGGACAGGAGACTATAGAAATCATGGCCTTGACACTGTAGACCTGCTGCCACAAATGCAAAATCCACTTTCTTTCAGACTACTCGTTAGGTGGGAAGAGTAAACTCTAATTCATTTGAGTCATAGTAGGTCTGGATTTCTGTTAGTTGTTGCTGACTATACTCCTAAATTGTTCCTTGTATATTCTCAGTGAATATTTGTGGAATGGAGAATGTATTAAAGATCCACTCATTTATTTTCAAACTGTGTGTGTGTGTGTGGGGGGGGGTTGTGTGTGTGTACACCTACATACATATGAGTATGTATATGTACATACATTAATGGAGGGGATGCTCTTGTTTGAATACTTAATTGGTCACCTCATCCCCTGTATGTTTCTGCTAAAAGGACTGTGAGTTAGCTCAAATATGCAATGGCCATGTACTTCATTGTGCCCACTGACGTTGCTAGGGAAGGGCAGGGTGATTGTTATATTCCAGCTGCTATCCTATGTTAACACAGCTATTGTGTTAGACTGTCACCTTACAGTTGATTATTCTGACACCCAAGTGCATCAACCTCTGTGCCTGATTATTAGAGATCTGTATGTCTTGGTGGTATGTTTGTCCTTCCATAACGTTTATGCTATATTATACTATTAGTTTATTACTTATTTGGTGTAAAAGTAGTATATTCACAGGATATAAGATTCAAAAGATACTAAAGGATAAACAGAGAGAAGTCTCTCTCACACTCTCCTTCAGCCAGCCCAACTCCTCTTTTTAGAGACAGCCAAGGTAATTAGTTTCTTTGTATTCATCCAACGATATCCCATGAATTTATGGATGGTGTGGGGCGCGTCGTCTTTTCTTGCTTTTTACACCAGTGGTAGCAACCTATATGCCAATCCTTCACTTTGTTTTTTTCACTGAATATATCTAAGCACTCCACCTGAATGTCAATGAAGAGTTTCTTTATTCTTTTTAACAGCTACATAGTGTTCCACTGAATGAATGTAGGTATAATTTTATTATCCATTCTCTTTTTAGTAGATAGACATTTAGGTTGTTTCTATTGCAAGCAGATGCCACAGAAAATGACCATGTATATGTCAATTCATACAAGTCATTTAAAGTTGAAAGGAATATGTATGTGGTTACTTTAAAATGTTGTGGTTTTGATTCTTGAAGATCAGCAGAATGAGGAGTTAAGACTAGAACAGGGATGGGGTAGAATGAGGCAAGTCATTTTTGAGAACATTATTGGCTTGGTAGTAGTTCCAGGAAGATGGTGTACTTCCTTTGTTGTCTAGGAAGATTTTGATTGGAGGCCTCTTATGAGGTTTATCATAGTAACAGATGTTTTATAGATTTTATAGGTTTAGGTGAGGTAGAAAAGATTCTCTTTCCTATTTCCTTTTATATCAGTTGTATTTATTCACTTATACTATATCTACATAATTATATAGCACGTTATACTTTTCAAAGATTTTTCAAATATCTTCCTTAAGTCCATCTTTTAATACTTAAAGCTAATGTTGGATGAGTCATCTTTTGGTAAATGATTGGAAAACTCAGAACCAAAGGCTATGTGTCAACCTAGCGACCTGCATCTAATTAGTCAGAGAGCTAAGCCTATAACCCCCATCTCTTAATTTCCTAAGGTAGGTATAAAGAAAAATGTTGTGAGTGTATGTGTGTGCACACACTTCAACACTCTTCTCCCCATGTCTTCTGGTATCAGAGCCCTTTTTTACGGAGAGGAATCATTCAGACCCCATCTGGGTCTGACCCATCTCCCATGCCACAGGGGTGAGCATGTGACCTAGTCTAAGCCAATCAGAATAGCCATCCTTCTAGCTATCGTGGTTGGTTCAGGTATGAGCTTGTTACCTAGGTGAGGCTGATCAGAACCTCCCTTTGGGCTTTTCTGCCAAAGCTACATGGAGGAACCTTCTCTTTCTGCTTAGGTTGTAAATGATAGGATTGACTTAGGGCTGTGAGCAGTGTGGGTCCTACCATGTCTGAAAGTAGATAAAAACCCCAGAATTCCTAGTTATTTCAGCCTGGCAAATGATCTTTTAGGATAGAAACAAGGCTTGTCTAATTGACATGCTGTCTACTTTGCATGGAATAGCATATTGTGTCTTAGTCGTTGAGAGGGGAGTGGCATGTGAGAAAGACTGCTGAAATGGAAGTCACAGATCAGTTCAAGTCTCTATTCTGCCACTTGCTGGCTTTTAGGATCATGGATGATTTCTCTCTTTAGAAGCTACTGATAGTGGCTTAACCAAAGATTTATTTCTGTCTCTAAGAGCCACTTTTCATGGCCTACCCAGAGGTTAATTTTTACTCTCGTAATAAAACATCCAGAGGACCTGTGCACTAGCTCTGCAGTGTCTTCAATCTTCCTGCCTCCTCCTTTCCTCCTACT